CCCTTGCGGGACAATAAAGTTTATCTTATCTTATCTTATAGGAAGCACACTCGTTTCGTATAATTCGCATGTAATGAGACCTCGTGTAGTAGTCTCTATCTACAGGTACACATTGTGCCCACAGTCATCTGTATGAGGTATTACTAATTACTACAGGTTCACACTGAGTTCACAGTGATATATACGAGGTAGTACTAATTCCTACAGGTGCATGTTGTGTCAACAGTGATCTGTATGAGGTAGTACTAATTTCTAGAGGTTCACATTGTGTCCACAGTGATCGGTATGAGGCAGTACTAATTCCTAAAGGTGCATATTGTGTCCATAGTGATCTGTATGAGGTAGCACTAATTCCTACAGGTTCACCTTGTGTCCACAGTGATCTGTATGAGGTAGTACTAATTCCTACAGGTTCACATTGTGTCAACAGTGATCTGTATGAGGCAGTACTAATTCCTAAAGGTGCATATTGTGTCCTGTGATCTGTACGAGGTAGTACTATTTACTACAGGTTCACATTGAGTCCACTGTGATATATGCGAAGTAATATTAATTCCTACAGGTTCACATTGTGTCCACAGTAATCTGTACGAGGTAGTATTAATTCCTACAGGTTCACACTGTGTCCACAGTGATTTGTATGAGGTAGTATTAATTCCTACAGGTTCACACTGTTTCCACAGTGATCTGTGCGAGGTAGTACTAATTCCTACAGGTTCACACTGTTTCCACAGTGATCTGTACGAGGTAGTATTAATTCATACAGGTTCACATTGTGTCCTGTGATCTGTACGAGGTAGTACTATTTACCACAGGTTCACATTGAGTCCACTGTGATATATGCGAAGTAGTATTAATTCCTACAGGTTCACAGTGTGTCAACAGTGATCTGTACGGAGCAGTACTAATTCCTACAGGTGCACATTGTGTCCACAGTGATCTGTATGAGGTAGTATCAATTTCTACATGTTCACACTGTGTCCACAGTGATCTGTATGAAGTAGTATTAATTCCTACAGGTTCACATTGTGTCCACAGTGATCTGTATGAGGTAGTATTAATTCCTACAGGTTCACATTGTGTCCACAGTGATCGGTACGCGGTAGTACTAATTCCTACATGTTCACATTGTGTCCACAGTGATCTGTGCGAGGTAGTACTAATTCCTACAGGTTCACACTGTGTCCACAGTGATCTGTACGAGGTAGTATTAATTCCTACATGTTCACACTGTGTCCACAGTGATCTGTATGAGGTAGTACTAATTCCTACAGGTTCACACTGTGTCCACAGTGATCTGTATGAGGTAGTACTAATTCCTACATGTTCACACTGTGTCCACAGTGATCTGTATGAAGTAGTATTAATTCCTACATGTTCACATTGTGTCCACAGTGATCTGTATGAAGTAGTACTAATTCCTACATGTTCACACTGTGTCCACAGTGATCTGTACGAGGTAGTACTAATTCCTACATGTTCACACTGTGTCCACAGTGATCTGTATGAGGTAGTATTAATTGCTACAGGTTCACACTGTGTCCACAGTGATCTGTATGAGGTAGTACTAATTCCTACAGGTTCATTTCATGTGTCCACAGTGATCTGTATGAGGTAGTACTAATTCCTACAGGTTCACATTGTGTCCACAGTGATCTCTATGAGGTAGTATTGATTCCTTCAGGTTCACACTGTGTCCACAGTGATCTGTACGAGGTAGTACTAATTCCTACATGTGCACACTGTTTCCACAATAATATGTATGATGTAGTACTAATTCCTACATGTTCACATTGTGTCCACAGCGATCTGTATGAGGAGTTATTAATTCTTACAGTTGCACATTGTGTCCACAGTGATCTGTATGAGGTAGTATTAATTCCTACAGGTTCACATTGTGTCCACAGTGATCGGTACGCGGTAGTACTAATTCCTACATGTTCACACTGTGTCCACAGTGATCTGTGCGAGGTAGTACTAATTCCTACAGGTTCACACTGTGTCCACAGTGATCTGTACGAGGTAGTATTAATTCCTACATGTTCACACTGTGTCCACAGTGATCTGTATGAGGTAGTACTAATTCCTACAGGTTCACACTGTGTCCACAGTGATCTGTATGAGGTAGTACTAATTCCTACATGTTCACACTGTGTCCACAGTGATCTGTATGAAGTAGTATTAATTCCTACATGTTCACATTGTGTCCACAGTGATCTGTATGAAGTAGTACTAATTCCTACATGTTCACACTGTGTCCACAGTGATCTGTACGAGGTAGTACTAATTCCTACATGTTCACACTGTGTCCACAGTGATCTGTATGAGGTAGTATTAATTGCTACAGGTTCACACTGTGTCCACAGTGATCTGTATGAGGTAGTACTAATTCCTACAGGTTCATTTCGTGTCCACAGTGATCTGTATGAGGTAGTACTAATTCCTACAGGTTCACATTGTGTCCACAGTGATCTCTATGAGGTAGTATTGATTCCTTCAGGTTCACACTGTGTCCACAGTGATCTGTACGAGGTAGTACTAATTCCTACATGTGCACACTGTTTCCACAATAATATGTATGATGTAGTACTAATTCCTACATGTTCACATTGTGTCCACAGCGATCTGTATGAGGAGTTATTAATTCTTACAGTTGCACATTGTGTCCACAGTGATCTGTATGAGGTAGTATTAATTCCTACAGGTTCACATTGTGTCCACAGTGATCGGTACGCGGTAGTACTAATTCCTACATGTTCACACTGTGTCCACAGTGATCTGTATGAGGTAGTATTGATTCCTTCAGGTTCACACTGTGTCCACAGTGATCTGTACGAGGTAGTATTAATTCCTACATGTTCACACTGTGTCCACAGTGATCTGTATGAGGTAGTACTAATTCCTACAGGTTCACATTGTGTCCACAGTGATCTCTATGAGGTAGTATTGATTCCTTCAGGTTCACACTGTGTCCACAGTGATCTGTACGAGGTAGTACTAATTCCTACATGTGCACACTGTTTCCACAATAATGTGTATGATGTAGTACTAATTCCTACATGTTCACATTGTGTCCACAGTGATCTGTATGAGGAGTTATTAATTCTTACAGTTGCACATTGTGTCCACAGTGATCTGTATGAGGTAGTATTAATTCCTACAGGCTCACATTGTGTCCACAGTGATCGGTACGCGGTAGTACTAATTCCTACATGTTCACACTGTGTCCACAGTGATCTGTGCGAGGTAGAACTAATTCCTACAGGTTCACACTGTGTCCACAGTGATCTGTACGAGGTAGTATTAATTCCTACAGGTTCACATTGTGTCCACAGTGATCTCTATGAGGTAGTATTGATTCCTTCAGGTTCACACTGTGTCCACAGTGATCTGTACGAGGTAGTATTAATTCCTACATGTTCACACTGTGTCCACAGTGATCTGTATGAGGTAGTACTAATTCCTACAGGTTCACATTGTGTCCACAGTGATCTCTATGAGGTAGTATTGATTCCTTCAGGTTCACACTGTGTCCACAGTGATCTGTACGAGGTAGTACTAATTCCTACATGTGCACACTGTTTCCACAATAATATGTATGATGTAGTACTAATTCCTACATGTTCACATTGTGTCCACAGCGATCTGTATGAGGAGTTATTAATTCTTACAGTTGCACATTGTGTCCACAGTGATCTGTATGAGGTAGTATTAATTCCTACAGGTTCACATTGTGTCCACAGTGATCGGTACGCGGTAGTACTAATTCCTACATGTTCACACTGTGTCCACAGTGATCTGTGCGAGGTAGTACTAATTCCTACAGTCCACAGTTCACACTGTGTCCACAGTGATCTGTACGAGGTAGTATTAATTCCTACATGTTCACACTGTGTCCACAGTGATCTGAGGTAGTACTAATTCCTACAGGTTCACACTGTGTCCACAGTGATCAGTAGTACTAATTCCTACATGTTCACACTGTGTCCACAGTGATCTGTATGAAGTAGTATTAATTCCTACATGTTCACATTGTGTCCACAGTGATCTGTATGAGGTAGTACTAATTCCTACATGTTCACACTGTGTCCACAGTGATCTGTACGAGGTAGTACTAATTCCTACATGTTCACACTGTGTCCACAGTGATCTGTATGAGGTAGTATTAATTGCTACAGGTTCACACTGTGTCCACAGTGATCTGTATGAGGTAGTACTAATTCCTACAGGTTCATTTCGTGTCCACAGTGATCTGTATGAGGTAGTACTAATTCCTACAGGTTCACATTGTGTCCACAGTGATCTCTATGAGGTAGTATTGATTCCTTCAGGTTCACACTGTGTCCACAGTGATCTGTACGAGGTAGTACTAATTCCTACATGTTCACACTGTTTCCACAATAATAAGTATGATGTAGTACTAATTCCTACATGTTCACATTGTGTCCACAGCGATCTGTATGAGGAGTTATTAATTCTTACAGTTGCACATTGTGTCCACGGTGATCTATACGAGGTAGTACTAATTCCTACATGTTCACATTGTGTCCACAGCGATCTGTATGAGGAGTTATTAACTCTTACAGTTGCACATTGTGTCCACAGTGATCTATACGAGGTAGTACTAATTCCTACATGTGCACATTGTGTCCACAGTGATTTGTATGAAGTAGTACTAATTCCTACAGGTTCACATTGCATCCAGTGATCTGTATGAGGTAGTATTAATTCCTACAAGTATAAGCAAGTATGTACAGGTTTTCTACGTTTACACCTCTTAGTGAAAAATGTCCCAAACGTACATTTTTAAAAGAACGACATTTCCAATAAACATCTTACCCACGTGTGTTGTCGTATAGTTTGACATATTATGGATATATATAATCATATGTGCTTAGCAGGACTTTGAGAACGTCTTTTTTACCGAACTGAATCATACTCGGTGATTGACTCTGTTAATGAGAACTCAGTGAGTGTATAAAGCCATGTTTACTTTACAGTGGTCAGGATAACCGAGAGCAACGCGCATCATGAGCTTTGTGGTGATGCAACGGTGTCCAGATTGTGCTGGGACTTTCAAGGACGTATCAAACCACAGAATCTGCCATAGCCGAGGTTCAGGGAAACATGCACATAAACCTTCTGTGGTCCTAAAGCAAGTCTGTCTTGATTGTCGTCGAGCTTTTGTGAACCTCGAAAATCACAACAGATGTCGTGGAAGAGGGGCAGGAAACAGGCGGACATCTTATCCACCGGTAGCCGTTCCTAGGTTTGCTGATTCCACGCCCAGGCCACCTAGTGATTCAGGACATGGTCAAACTCACCACCAGGATACACCACCCCCTACTACCCCACCTGTACAAAGTTTGACACCACCCCCTACGCCCCCTTCCTCGAACACAGAGAGACGAACACCTGCCCAACAGTAAGTTTTATGTATAAACAAGCATCGCCTTCACGAGTTATTCTGGTCGGGTGTCGCAATAACCTGTCAGAGTTGCCTCCCTGATGGATTTCACCCAAATGGTAAAAGATATGTTTTCAAACGGGCCTTAAAAAATGTCTGAAGATTTAATATCAAGAGCAAAACAGTTCCACTCATGTGCTGCTAGCAAAAGCAAAAGAGCGTTTATATGACGAGAATGTACTGATCTCCTAGGACAATTAGCATGGGTTAACGACTTGGTTGTGTTGTAATATACGAAAACAGTTCTTGACAACCTTTTACATCGGTTTTTTTTTTTCTGACACATTCTAGCCAATACTTTAAAGTTAGCCAACCAAAAACTTGCAGAAATTAAGTCGTATAAACACAACTTTCTAAATCATCTGGTTAGCATGGATGTTCCAGTTGTCTACGGGCGCCCCAACTAGTTGTAAAGAGTTGCGTCCCTTTGGCACGCCAGGAACCAGTCATCTTGGTTTTGAATCGTGGGTCGCATCCATCATCTCTATACATTTGTCAGTGCTATACCCATGCTTGTGGTTTTCCCTTAAGCGGTAAACACGTGAAGCATGCATTTCATTTAGCTTTTCTCCAACACTAAGCTTTAATACTGTTCAAGGTTGTGTAATACTCAATTCATTCACTTATTCAAGCTGTTACTTTTCGAACGATTTCAAAAGTTCTGTTTTTTTTTAACAATTCTTGAAGAGTCTTTATAAAATTCAATAATTCACAATATTCCAGCTATAAATAATCGAGTCTGAACCAGACAATCCAGTGATCCACGGCATCGATCAGTTGGGATACGATGACATGTGTCAACAAAGTCAGCGAGTCTGACCTCCCAATCCCGTTACTCACCCGTTAGTTGCTGAAGACCTTTTCTAACCCGGATCTTCACGAGGCAGAACATTGAACGACGTAGGGACCAGAACAGAATCCGTGCAAAGATAAAAGCGACTAATATATGACTGGAGCTGACCTTTATTGAATTGCAACTTTAATAAGAGACACTTGCCTTCAAATAAGAAACAATTGCCTTCAAATAGGAAACACTTGCCCTCAAATAGGAGACACTTGCCATCAAACAGGAGCCATTTGCTTTCCAATGAGAGACACGTGCCTTCAAATAGGAGACACTTGAACTTCAAATAGGAGACACTTGTCAACTAATAAGAGACACTTGCGATCAAATATGAGACACTTGCCTTCATCAAATAGGAGAGACTTGTCTTCAAATAGGAGACACTTGAACTTCAAATAGGAGACACTTGTGAACTAATAAGAGACACTTGCGATCAAATATGAGACACTTGCCTTCATCAAATAGGAGAGACTTGTCTTCAAATAGGAGACACTTGCCAACTAATAACAGACACTTGCCATCAAATATGAGGCACTTGCCATCAAATAGGAGACACTTATCTTCAAAAAGGAGACACTTGCCTTGTCAATAAGAAACACCTTTTAATAAGCCATGTAAGCAGGACTATGAAGGGTGTCTGTATTTGTCCTGGTAGTTCTCTCTATTGACCTGTCCTTGAATATTATGTTGGGAGTTCCTTCAGCCATAACCACACCACACATGCCGGATCCGACACCCAACCTGGCATGAAGCCTCATTCTGACATTGGCTGGACGTTCATCTCGGCATCGTCAGATACGACGACGCAAACTTAGATAGTGCAGAGAGAATCGGAGAAACACGAAACCTGACCAACAATGATTGCCCCAGTTTCACCATATGTTGGCAATAACGATTTGTGGCACAACACGTGGCCTTAGAGCATGGAGATGAACTGCATGTAGACGATTTAAGATCGTCTGTCCCGTAACTTATCCCGTTGTGTAGTGTCACGTCAATATGTTTATATGGTGTAGCACATGATTACGGCTACCGAAGCTATCTATATAATCTATAAATAGTTGTCTCCTTTCTTTATAATTTTCAGTATTAGATGTGTAAACTGCTGGTGTCATTGTGCACAAAGAGCACGAGCCACGCGCGACTTCCAATTTCATGCAAAGTCAGGGGCGTAGCTACCATTATAATAAACAGGCCAGGCTTGCACATGATGTTTGCTAAAGATAAGCATGAAAGTTGGGCAAGCCCTCCATACTATCAAAATATAAAGTTTTGCAACCTATCGGGCTTACACGAAAAAAATGGCTTGCTACGCGCCTGAAAGTGCTTTGCTACATCCTTATTTAGGGTCATTTTTATAACTTTTCAAATGACTTATATTTAATGCAATTTTATGATATACACAGTTACCTTTTTCCGTTAGTATAGTGGGCTCCTTTCTTGATAACAAGATATAAATATTTTATTGCTAGAGATGAACCGGATATCAATGCGGTACCTACTGGTTCACAACGCCTTGTCAGGGAGCATCTAAGTCGATGTATGGAGTCTGGAGCCAGCGGGATCTCCGTCAACCGGGCCAACATCTTGTCCAGCAGCATGGCCTTCTTCAAGGATGTTCGTATATCAAACAGGGCTAAGCAGTTAATGGTATGAACAGATCGATATTTTACATGTCCAAATGATGATTGTTCCAGTGAATGCTTTGGCAAATGATGCAGTAGAAAAAGGCTTCACAATTTTACCCATGAAAGGAATCGAACTCTGATCTTTGACATCATTTGAACAATTATGCTACCGTACAGACCCAGATATAACTGAAACACTTAAAGGTGGCTTTAAACCCAACTCACAACTGTTTGTTCTTAAACGCTGCACCTAGTGATCAACGTCATGAGCATCAATCTACGCAACTGGCATACGATGACATGTGACAACCAAGTCAGCGACCCTGAGTACCCTATCCCGTTAGTCTCCTTTTGCGACAAGCATGCATGGGTTGCTGAAGACCAATTCCAATCTTCACGGGCGACTTTTGTCACTACTGTTGAAGCTGTTGCTGGTGGAAATTAGGTGTAAAAATAAACTCACTCAATCTGGTATTGACAACTTTTTGTCTTAGTAAGTGTCCTCCAGTGACTCCGCAGTAATAAATAAAGAAATCACCTCACGCCGAAGACCCAGGTTCACAGTGTGTGAACCTCATGTCTGCTGGTGTCCCCCGCCGTGATATTGCTGGAATATGAATCTCTCTCTCTCTCCTCTCTCTCTCCCTCTCTCTCTCTCTCTCTCTCTCTCTCTCTCTCTCTCTCTCTCTCTCTCTCTCTCTCTCTCTCTCTCTCTCTCTCTCTCTCTCTCTCTCTCTCTCTCTCTCTCTCTCTCTCTCTCTCTCTCTCTCTCTCTCTCTCTCTCTCTCTCTCACACACACACTGTAACCTGCAAAGTCAACCTTATTGCATTCCTCTAATGGTAGGTGACTTTCACTGATGCCAATGGCAGACTTGAGCTAGGCGTCGACACAGGGGGGCCACGTCGAGAGTATCTACGTCTGCTGCTGGAGTCCATCGTCGCCGACAGCAAGATGCTTCGCGGTCAGTACTCAGTATGATTTGGTTGGTTTGTTGTTTAACGCAGCACTGAGCAGTATTACAGCTATATTGCGGCGGCCTATAAACAATCCAGCTATGGACCAGACAATCCGGTGATCACCATAGATCTACGCAATTCGGATACGATGACATGGTCCGCGAGTCTGACCTTGTTTGTCGCCTCTTACAAGGATGGGTTTCTGAAGACCAAGTCTAACTCGCATCTTTACAGGTGTCCTAGGTATGAATGACTTGCAGGTGGCCTTTGGTTGGAAGGTTTTGTCGTCATACGAAAGCCCGGATTCATCGCATGGGTATAACGTATGAAATACCTGTCTCGTGACACTCAGCGTGTAAATGCCGTGATATCAAAGAAAGCGGCGTAAAACTACTCTCACTCGTTCTCATATATTTTGTATATTCTAACAGGGGATGAAAACCTAGGATTTCTGATTCGGCCCAACATATCTGCCTATTTAAAGAGGCACTTCCGGGTCATGGGGGTCATGCTGGCCACTATAATTGCTCAAGGTGGACAACCTCCCGCCATATTTGCTCCTCCTGTCGTTGATGCTATACTAGATAAAGATAAGATGCCGTCTGTGGATTATGTGCCCGACACACGGAAGAGAGAATCTTTAAAAAAGGTATATAATTACAGAAGTGTTACCATTGTCTAATATTTCGATCGCTTTGACATTCACGATGTCTATAAATACATCAATAGTCATCTACAAATACGACAAAATAAACGTAATAATTTGATGCCAATAATAAAGACATGATGGCAAATGTAGCACATAAAATGACTAGTATTTAGATCACCTAAGCCACCTAAGCCACATCTTATTACGGTTTCTTTAATAGAACACTAACACAGAACAGGTCAACACTAACATAGAACAGGTCAACACTAACATAGAACAGGTCAACACTAACATAGAACAGGTCAACACTAACATAGAACACGTCAACACTAACACAGAACAGGTCAACATTAACATAGAACAGGTCAACACTAACATAGAACAGGTCAACATTAACATAGAACACGTCAACATTAATATAGAACAGGTCAACACTAACATAGAACACGTCAACATTAATATAGAACAGGTCAACACTAACATAGAACAGGTCAACATTAATATAGAACAGGTCAACACTAACATAGAACAGGTCAACACTGACATAGAACAGGTCAACACTGACATAGAACAGGTCAACACTAACATAGAACAGGTCAAAACTAACATAGAACAGGTCAACATTAATATAGAACATGTCAACACTAACATAGAACAGGTCAACACTGACATAGAACAGGTCAACACTAACATAGAACAGGTCAACATTAACATAGAACAGGTCAACATTAATATAGAACATGTCAACACTAACATAGAACTGGTCAACACTGACATAGAACAGGTCAACACTAACATAGAACTGGTCTACACTAACATAGAACAGGTCTACACTAACATAGAATAAGTCAACACTGTCATAGAACAGGTCAACATTAACATAGAACATGTCAACACTAACACCGAATAGGTCAACACTGACACAGAACAAATCAACACTGACATAGAACAGGTCAACACTAACATGGAACAGGCCAACATTAACATAGAACAGGTCAACACTGACATAGAACAGGTCAACAGTAACAACACAGAACAGGTCAACATAGAGTATATTAGATATACATATTTATATACATAGACATATTTTGTAACAGCTGTATACATATTTTCAGCTGCTGTTTCTAGGCCTGTTTATCTGTGAATGGAAGAAGCAAGCATGTTTTTAACCACCCATTGTTCAGGTCATCCAGCATGTCCAGCCAACAACTTTAAATATAATCGAGGCAGCTTTTATTCATTTAATTTTTTTCTGGAACAATTTGATTAACAAATTAATTCTTATACGCCTCAAGGACAAGTCCAGTAATAGTCCTACGAGTATTGTATTGTTGTGTTTGTCGGGGCGGTGGGGTAGCCTAGTGGTTAAAGCGTTTGCTCGTCACGCCGAAGACCCGGGTTCAATGCCCCACATGGGTACAATGTATGAAGCCCATTTATGATGTCCCCCGCCGTGATAATGCTGAAATATTGCTAAAAGCAGCGTAAAACTAAACTCACTCTTGTGTATGTCCCAGGTGTCGGAAGCTCGCGACAAGGCTGAGCTACAGGAGGCTCTAGATGAGTGTGACTGGAGATTCGACCTGGACGGTATCCCCTCTTATGTTAGCATGGACAGTAGAGATGAGTTCCTCAGAGAATGTGTCCAGTATTTCGTCATACTGCAGAGCAAGCCAATGCTTGACCAGCTGATTCAAGGCCTGCGTCACTGCGGGGTGAGTATGTCTTACTTCAGAGGCATCAGAGTTTCAGAAAAGATTACATCACCCACAAGACAATATCCCACGACTACATGCTGTAGGTTAAGAGGCAGTAACTGGGTGGACCTCAGGTGATTGTAAGCAAACATGTGGTATTGTCATTCTTGGCATCTCATGTTATTCCGTACAAGCCTTCTTGTAGATCATGGGCCGAGGCGAGTAGTTACGAATGGTGGTATTGTCAAGGGGACTATTTTCCCCGGAAGTTGTAATGCGGTGCGCGTAATTCCATGCGCAAAGTAGTGCAAAAATGTTAAATCTTCTGAATGGGTCGTCATTGGGTAAACGGGGTTGTTTATGCCAGTTACTCAGAACAGCAGGGTTCGATACCCACATTGGCACACCATTTGTTCCAGTGCCTTAGAGTGATAAAGCTTGCTCCCACTCGAAGTGATCAAACATCATGGTAGATCTAGATTTTATTTTCTGTTTCTAATATTGTCAGATTCTGGATCTCATCAGAAGACACACGTTACGAGATTTGCTTGAGTATAAATCGGACGTTGAGGTCACAGCTGAAAGGGTTATGGATCTGTTGAAACCAAATAAACGTTGCCATAGCGACGAACAACAGATCCTTGTCAACCTAAGCGGATTCCTGCAGGCAGCTGAAGGTAAGATTATAGAAGTCATAGACGGGTGCCAGAGAACCAATGCTTGGTTTACCTCTTGGCACAATCTGGTGAATCCTATACTATTATAACAAATGAAATGGTGGTAATTCACTAACTAATTAGGTGCGGGGCGGTGGAGTAGCCTGATGGTCAAGCGTCCTCTGGTCACCTGGGTCCGATTCCCCACATGGGTAAAATGTGTGAAACCCATTGTTGGAATATTGCCGTAAAACCATACTCACTCACTCGTTTGGTGCCTATTTCAAATGTCCTTTGCTTTAGATCAGCGATGTTATATGGATCAAAATATTTAAACAAGCAAACCATATCTCATTCGTACGAATATATCTTGGATATCAGAAACCAAGACCATTCACGAATTCTGATATATATAATGGTTATAATAATTGTATTCATCAGCTTCTTTGAAATGTGTGAATGCAAATTCTCAGACACTCCAGCAAGTCTGAAAATACACAAAGTTTACCTCCTTAATGTATAGATGTAACCATCATGAAGAACATTAATGAAATCAGCTTTCAAAGGGGCTTCTATTTAAATTGTTAACAAAATACAGGATAACATCAACTCTCTGGAGGATTAATGACCGAGCTGATAAATTTGGACAATTTCGTGAGTTCATACATTTCACAGCTACTGTTTCTTTTACGGGAAATATTAACTCACATCGCTTGTGATATTTAACGCCTCACTCAGCTATATACCAGCTATATGATGGCGGTCTGTAAATAATCAAGTCTGGACCCGACAATCCAGTGATCAACACCATGAGCATAAAATATACACAATCGGGATACCATGACATGTGTCACATCGTTCATCTTCCAAAGGCTAATTCTAAACGATTATCTCATACTGAAAACGAAAACTATGAGACAATGCAAACATAATGTCGTCAGCTTCTCAGAAAGGTGAATCATTTAAATAACGAAATACGGAATATTTTATCGAGAGTCCCAGTGTTTGAGAAGTTCAAGGTACAGTGCTGCATCTCTTTATTGCGGTACATTTCAGCAAAAATATCTCGGTAGTTATGCGGAATTATGCTTGAATTTGCGGAAATATTTAAGTGGTAACTCTGCGGAATAATATAAGTTGTAAGTTATCGAAAATATTAAATGGGGTAAGTTTAAATTATGAATGTAAAAGGTTTGTAGAATTATAAAAGCTGAAAGTTTGCGGAAATATCAATTGATAAGATAGAGGAATTAAAAAAAGCAGAAATATTGAATGGATAAGTTTGCTGAATTGTAAATGCAATAAGCGGAATTGTTAAAGTTACGTATGCGGAATTAGAAAATAGGTAGGTGTGTGGAATGAGGAAATAGATAAGTTTGCAGAATTAAGAAATAGGTAGGTGTGCGGAATTAGAAATATGGTGAGTGCGGAATTAGGAAATTGGTAACTTTTAGTGTGATTCTGTCCAATCCGAACATTGTGACAATGCAGGTGTTGTCGAATTAACTGACGAAATGTACATATTGTGTTCATCTTCCAGGTGGCAGCTTGTGTGGCGTGCTCAGGGAGAGCCAGCGTTTGACCCGAAGTCAGACCAAGTTTGCGCGGAGATTAACTCCAGGGAGACTGCTAGCGTTTGTTACTGGATGTAGTAGGGAACCAGCTGGCGGGTTCGTGCCCAAACCCAGCATTGTCTTTAACAGAGCCGCCTGGCGGCTGCCATCGGCCGCTACATGCAGTAACCAGATCCTGATCACGGTGCACCAGAACTCGCTGGAGTTCCATCGCTTTTGTCAAGCAATGATGACGTCAATGATGAACGGTGAAAACTTTACAACCGCCTAGGTTTCTTGTTATCGTCTTTAGTTTTCTCATGGAAAACTGATTTAAAAGATTTGTTGTGATAGATATTGCACAAATAGAGATTCCTATACAACTGACTCTCACATACGGTTTACCACCGCCTAGGTTTCTTGTTATCGTCTTTAGTTTTCTCATGGAAAACTGATTTAAAAGATTTGTTGTGGTAGATATTGCACAAATAGAGATTCATATACAACTGACTCTCACATACAGTTTACCACCCACTAGGGGTTTCTTGTTATCGTCTTTAGTTTTCTCATGGAAAACTGATTTAAAAGATTTGTTGTGGTAGATATTGCACAAATAGAGATTCCTATACAACTGACTCTCACATACGGTTTACCACCGCCTAGGTTTCTTGGTATCGTCTTTAGTTTTCTCATGGAAAACTGATTTAAAAGATTTGTTGTGGTAGATATTGCACAAATAGAGATTCCTATACAACCGACTCTCACATACGGTTTATCATTCGAGTTGTTTCAAAACGCGAACAGCGTGTTGTGAGATAAATCGTATCTTGAAGGCATGAAATATTACGTTTCTCGTACACCCTTAACTCAAATGGACATATATGTTGTCTTTTCTTATTACTGGGACGTGTATACGTGGCACAACGTTCATTTCACTATCCTGCTTCTATGGTTGTATGCCTCCGCGTGTTGTCGATAGGATCATTTTGTTGTATAAAAGTGGCTTGTCACTCGCCTCACTGTCACAGTTGTAGTAGCCAGTTTGGATACGGGCGTAATCCGTCGTAATTTGACCTTTGGTCTTCACCATAGAGTAGCCAATCACAGACGGGGATCCCATCTCATACATATGTCTGATGCAAGTCATATTTCATAGGTTCTTCTCTCACACAGTTAGAGAGCTTTTTCTACTTTGTATACTATTACCCTCACTGTGTACATCACTATCCCTACATTGTACACGACTATCCCTTCTTTGTACACCACTATCCTTTCTTTGTACACCACTATCCCTTCCTTGTACTCGACTATCCCTTCTAGGTACACCACTATCCCTTCTTGGTACACCCTTTCCCTACATTGTACACCACTTTTCCGTCTTTGTTCACCACTATCCCTTCTTTGTACACCACCATCCCTTCTTGGTACACCACTATCCCTTCTTGGTACACCACTATCCCTTCTTTGTACACTAGTTTTGGGATAAGCTATTTTTGAAGGAACTAAACTTTGACACAAAATTTGCTCCCAAGCTAACGTGTTTCTGTATGCTGATGAATATGTACCTTCCTTCACCTTCCTTAGGTGTCTGTGTTTGAAGCCATGTGTTCTTTCTACGAAGATTTCCATTCAAAAAGTGTTTTGTGGTTCTTGCTCAGATATCGGAAACGTTCAGTCGACTCTGCTTTTAACAGAAACGTCTCCCTGTGATAGAAACAGATTGATCGATTCTTAACATTTAAACTTCAATATTGTATATTGACATCTCATTATTTCTTGGACTGCAATCTCAACATGTTTTTGTTTATTTGATAACGATAGCCATTAATTCGTTTACATTTTTATCAAATTTTACCAGTAGCAATGCAACATTTACTCATCTTAGGGCTAATGAAGTTTTATGCACACGGCCTGTTGTACGGCGACCGCCGAAAACATTGTCACCAAAGAGTGAAACTTAACATAACTGTCCAACCAATTTCAGAGGTTCGATTCCTATTGTCTAAATACCCATTTTGATAAAAAGCTATTTAAGGCCATTATTGAAACATTGCCTTTTTTATAACGTAATGAAATAGGGTATTCGTCTCGCTGAATCGTGCCATCGCCTTAGGCAGAGACTTATGATCAGGAATTGTTTGGTCTTTTTTATGACTTTGTTGAATGTTTATATCTTTGTTTTGAATATTTTTACCTTGTTTTGACAGTTATTCAATACTCAAACTGAATGTAGATACTGTATACATCTTATCGCCTGAAACTGCCAGAGAGAGGGAGCTGAAGTATATATCCTTGCTTCTCATTCCGATGATATATTTGTTCTGATGATTAGATTTTTGTCCGACCGGCAACAACTTTTGTTATGCTATCCTTGATGTTATGATATTTTTCACTGCTAACTGTCCAAATTAGACACCGTGGCACTGTTGTTTTGTTGGTATACAAGTGTGATTAAAACCTTTATTGATCTTATTTGAATTTGTTCTGTGTGTGATTTTGGCATAATTTTTCTCTAAAAAAAATCAAAAATGATATATTTTCTCACATCTTTAAATATGGAAAATGAGTGAGTGAGTACGGTTGTACGCAGCTTTTAGCAATATTCCATAAATATGACGCCTGTAAAGAGAAAATAATTGTCTTAAAAAGTCGACATTTTCAGTCGACCTAGACATCAGTGGTTAAAAGATGACATTAAATACACTGTCCTGTTTTTAACTTTCAATACTTATAATTTTTTCATGTCAGTTACATTCCTTCACATTTGACTATCGAACAAAACCAATAACCATGATCCAAAACCAATAACCATGATCCAAAACCAATAACCATGATCCAAAACCAATAACCATGATCCATAACCAATAACCATGATCCATAACCAATAACCATGATCCTAAACCAATAACCATGATCCAAAACCAATAACCAAAACCAATAACCATGATCCAAAACCAAAATCAATAACCATGACCCAAAACCAATAACCAAAACCGATAACCATGATCCAAAACCAATAACCATGACATGATCCCAAACCAATAACCGTGACCCAAAACCAATAACCATGATCCAAAACCAATAACCATGATTCAAAACCAATAACCACGATAAATAAAATGAAAATAGAAGATTGCAGAAATAATAATTGGTATAATTTCTTTCAAAAGTTATTTGAACAGTAGCAGCAAAAAATTATGGAAAACTGATCCTTTACAAGGACTTATTCATCTTATCTTCATCTTTCAAGATTCCGGGTTAGAAAGATTCCCAGAAATGATGCTGGACGTAAGATACGATGTAATGGGACGGTCAATCAAGGTTAATAATGGGTCTTCGTACTGAAGGGACGGTGATGTGAAATTGGGTTTAACGTCGTGCTTGAGAAAATTTCACTCATATGACGACGTGCAAGCGTGTGTATGTGTATGTGCCGCTGCTTGTACTAGCCCAGACTGAAGCTGGTTTTATAGTGCTAGCCCACTGAGATACCATGCCGCAGTGAAGCATGAATACCCTACTGAGACACACTATACTGACTCCGAGCCGACCAGTCCTTGTTGTACCCATTAATGCGGCGTCAGGCAGGGACCAACAATTACCATATTTTAGCGTCTTTTGGTAGGACGCGGCCTGGGATCGAACCCGCGACCTTCCGCTCTCCGGGAAGACGCTCTAACCACTACACCGCGGAGGCGGTTCGTACTGTAGGGACGGTGGGTATTCAGACATCGCGGACTATCGAGACGGTTTACATTGAATGTGAGTTTGAAATGAGACAACTTAACCTACTCTATAACAACCAATAATGAGTAACTATTAATTAAATCAATATGTAGATGATACTGAAGTATTTCTTGGTGGGAGTAAGCAAAGTTTAAAGGCTGCTTTTGATGAAATAAATACTTTTTATAAAATGTCAGGGCTTAAAATAAACATTGATAAGTCAAAAGCAATATGGATTGTCTCAAAGAGAAATAGTACTGATTTATCATGCAACGACATTTAAAATCGAATGGCAAAATACTGTGTTTGAAGCCTTGGGAATTAAATTCCACACAGATCTTAACAATTTGTGAGGAATCAATACAAAAAAAGACTAGAGGAATTAAACAGACTGCTTGCACAATGGAGGAAAATACATTTGACTCTGATTGGTAAAATAACTGTAATGAAAACTTAGGCTCTGTCAAAACCTGTTCATAAATTCAATGCTATGCTTAATCCTCCAAAGGATTTCATTACTTTATAGCAAAATATCTTCTTCAAATTCATATGGAATGACAAACGTGATTAAATCAAAAGGAACAATTTGAAAAGGATATACAGAGATGGTGGATTAAGGATTGTTGACACTGCAACTTTTTGTGAAGCATTGAAACTTGCCAATCTGAGATCATATTGTAGAAAAACAACAATTAAAAATATCTGTAATATTACTTTTGATGTCATTTTAAAATCTGGTACAGATGTTGATCAAGTGATACATATTGATAACACTGATTGGAAGGATGTTTTGAAAGTATGGAACAAATATTGTAAAAAAAGTCATGTGAATTCTGGAGATAATTATGAATCCAAGCCCAACCACTATGGTTTAACCATAATTGGATCTATGTGACACAACTGGTTTCTTATCCTTTGACAAGTTGAAGGCAATTTGAGGTACTAAAAGCACATATTTGGACTATTTGCATGTTTTGAATATACTACCTGATACTTGGAAATATACCATTAGACACTCCAGAAATATCCCAGTTTTTTTTTTTTTTTTTTTTTTTTTATTTACTCATAACTGAATGTCATTTGAATTTACTGGAATCATCCAAAGGCTCTAGATTTTTTTTATAATACCTTGATTTCAAGTGAAGAGCTAGCTAAAGTGTGTCTTAAATGGCAAGCATCTTTTGCTAATGATACTTTGGATTGGAATGGGATTTTTATGACTTACAGATACTTGATTTCCAAAACAAGTCAGTACTTTGTATGAGCTACGTGAGAGTATTTGTCATGTTCATTGGGAATGTAGAGAAACACAAGCATTCTAGAATGAACTTGATGTTTGAATGAACAATCAAATAGAAAACACAACTGAAATAACAAAATACATTGTTTTGTTTGGAACATAATACATTGATTTATTATTGGGTCATGTCGTCATATCTGCCAAGACTATATCCATTTGAATAGGATTAAACAACATGCTCCAAAACTTCAAAGGTTTTTGGTTGTTTTGAGAGAAATTTCCAATGTAGACAAAACCATTGCAATTAAAACTAATAGTCTTCAGAATCATGACAATCTTTATTCCAAACTCAAGCAGAAACCTAAACTCACTTTTGGTATATATTCTTGAATTCTGTGTGCCACGCTCCGAAAATGCGAACTACCGTCTATGACGTGTACTCTTGGGAACAATAAAACCTTTTTTAAAAAACAAACAAAAAACATACAAGAAATAGAAAAAGAAACAAAACAAACAACTAGGCCTCAAGTCAGTTTATAAACAGCTGTCACCCATTTGTCAGATAAGCTGTGAGACGTGGGCGTGTCACCTTCTCGTCTCGCACTGATGCCCACAATGTGCATTAAAATTCATTTAAAATGAGTCTTTTCAAAAACACGTCAATACAACTTCTCGTACATATGAAGCGAAAGCTATTCCATACACTTCAATGTAATTTTCCCGTTCAGCGAAGACCGCAACGCACGATCAGTATTTCTAAGTTATAAGAAAAGCCCTACTTTCGTTTTCTGTT